AAAAAGAAAAAAAAAAAAGAAAAAAAAAAAAAAAAAAAAAGGGGGGGCTTTCCCTTTGTTTGCGCAAGTGAGCTGGGTCTGCTATATATGCCTTGTAAGACGTATGATACGGTTTTAGGTATTTTCTACCGGTTCGCTTCCTCCGATCGGTGGGAATTATTAAAAGACGATATGTGTAATAGTAATTAGGATTACCCTATTTTGGATAATTAATCGGTAATCCGTAGCGTTTTGTAAGCGAAAGCAAATTTTCACTAATTATATGCATGCATGCTTTCGGCTAGTAATTTCTTCGTATTTTATCTCCATGTTCTAAAATTATTTTAATATAGGTGCTCTGCTTAGAAAATGATGAAATTTTAGGAGTCTCTGCATCTCTCTGTTCTCATCATATTGGTAGGTCTTGTGCATGATTTGGGTAAGTAGTTATTTAGTTATGATTTATTTCTCGCTACTGCATTGAAACAGGGTCATTCGGGTGTTTTCTGGAATAACTGGAGTTTTACTCACTCAAATGCCTTGTTTCCACTTGAAAAATGTTTTACACTTATGTGTCTGCCTTGGGGTAAAATTTGGTAGTTTTTGGGTCAGTGAGGAATTTATTATGAATTTTCAAAACTCCCTCCCCTGTTCTGGATTTTTAAACTGAGTGACTGTGCCATTTTATTTGTTTCTCCTACATGACCATGCATCTTTCAAAACTGTTTTAACTGAGTGATCTAGACCCGTGTTAGATGGTATGGTATAATTTTGGGGTTATTTTCATGAGTAGTTTAAGAGAAATTAATTTTTAAAGCTTCTGCATTGAATCTGTCCGCATTTGCATTAAGTTCATCATGCCTAGGTAGTTTTTAGTCTTGCATGTAGTATGCTTTTGTGTTACATATTTGTTTAGGGTTTAGCAAGCTGTGCCCTCTCTCCCTCTGATTTACCAAGAAATTTTTTTACGTACATTTTATATCCACAAAAATCATGTTTTCAAAAGTCTTGCGCTGAGATTACATATCATAAGAGTAATCGAGAGAGGGGTGTCACAGCAGTCGTGGTTTCAGAGCAACGATCCCCGGAAACCTCCATACGACCTAAAGACCTTCACGATTCTCAAAGCACGACTCCAACTGAACACTCGGGCAGGTATATGTTTATGTGAATTTTATGGCTAATGTGTATTATTTGTATATGTTTAAGTATTAAAATGTCTGGAGCAAGAACTCGAGCTCAAAATGCCGCTAACGATCCTCACAATCAATCTCGTACCATCCAAGACCTCACCGCCCTCGTCCGAGAACAAAATGAACAAATCAACCGCCTTGTTAACCTTCAAAACCAAAACCCTCATCCACCTCCTCCTCCCCCTCCCCAACCTAGAAATACAGCCCCACAAGCCACCTACGAGCGATTCTTGAAAATGCATCCTACCGAATTCCACGGCGGCCCTAGTCCAACTGTTGCCGAAGAATGGATCAAATCCCTCGAAGTTATTTTCGAGTACATGGTGATGAACGACAGCGACCGAATCCATTGTGCACTATTCTTGTTGAAAAACGAAGCCCGAAATTGGTGGGAAGGCGCAAAGAGTGGAATGATCTAGCAAATACCACTTGGGAAGCTTTCAAAGTTCTTTTCTTCGAACAAGTACTTTTCCAAGAATATTCGAGCACAAAAGCTTAAGGAGTTTCTCGAACTCAAACAAGGAAACCTAACCGTTGCCGAATTCACACGCCGTTTCGAGCAAGGAAGCCTCTAAGCACCATTCATATCCAAAGACGACACCGAAAAGATGAATCACTACCTAAGAGGCCTCAACCCGATAATCAAGCGCGACGTTCGACTAACCTCTGCCTCTACTTTCCGCGGAGTAGTGGACAAAGCCTTGGAAGCCGAACAAGACGAAATAGAAATACGACAATGGAGACCTCCACATGATGCCTCTTCTCGACCATGGAAGAAACCGAACCTCAACAACGCCAAAGGAAAGCAACCGATCAACCGAGCAACCGTGACCCCGAGCAACAAACCCTTTTGCCCCAAATGCAATCGAGCGCACTCAGGCGATTGTATTGCCGGAACCGACCATTGTTTTCGATGCAAGAAGCCCGGACACATGGTCCGAGACTGCCCTATCGCCCCGAGACAAGTGCCGGGACGAGTATTCGCCATGACAAGAGACCAAGCCGAAGCTGACCCGTCAATGATCGCAGGTACCGTTAATGTGTATAATAATTCCGTGTATGCCCTCATCGACTCCGGATCAACTCACTCATTCATCTCAAGTACCCTCGTTGCCGAACTCCGCCTAGTCCGTAGTCAAGCCGATGCCTTGTTTAGCATACTCATTCCTTCCGGTGATGAACTTAAATCCAATTTCATCATCAAAGATTGCCCTATTCAGATTCGTAACCAAACCCTAGCCTCCGATCTGATCATTCTACCCATTAAACATTTCGAAATAATCCTCGGAATGGATTGGTTATCAAAATTCGACGCCCAAATCAATTGCGCCCACAGAACCGTTCGTTTCTCCTTACCGAATGGAAGTTTTCTCGAATTCCGAAGCTCGTACAATCCGTCGATTCCTATCATTTCCGCCATCAAAGCGAGCAAACTTATTCAAAAAGGACATCTATGTCATTTGGTCGACATAGTGGAAGCTCTCAACGAAGATAAAACCGACATTTCCAAAGTGCCAACCGTTTGCGATTTTCCCGATGTCTTTCCCGAAGATCTCCCCGGTCTTCCGCCCGATCGTGAAATCGAATTCGAAATTAATTTGATTCCCGGTTCCGCTCCTATCTCGAAGGCACCTTATCGCATGGCGCCGTTAGAGCTAAAGCAACTCAAACACCAAAATCAAGACCTCATCGACAAGAAGTTCATCCGCCCTAGTTTTTCCCCATGGGGTGCTCCGGTACTCTTCGTGAAAAAGAAAGACGGAACTCTCCGGATGTGTATCGATTAGCCGAGAACTCAACAAGGGTCACCGTCAACAAACAAGTATCCATTGCCACGAATTGACGACCTTTTC